GGACTGTGAGTAACTCTTGTATTGTATTGTATGTATTGTACTATTATTATATAATTCGTTACACTGTGGCTGTGTTGTGTGTGTTAAGCTGCTGTTGCACTACAATTTCCCTCACGGGATCAATAAAGTATCTATCTATCTAATTCACTGCAAACCGCAACCCTGGTGTAAGTCTGTTTAGATGCCACTTGATGGCAGTAGCAAGCTGTTGTTAACGGTTTGACTTGGGAGTGATGGTTTTCTGTCCTTTTGAATTCACATTGAAGACCAGAGAATACAAAGGCTAACTGCTTCTGACTTGAAACTCTTAACAATCTATACCCTTTTTAATTATTGGATAATTTACCACCTTTACTTTGTTAAGCGAATGAATCCCTTTTCCTTTCAACCGCTTCGAAAGACATCAGAACTTTGGAATTTGATGCGTTCAGCCTCAACTGTTGGATACTTGTCGTTATGTTTCAAGAGATGGTAAATTCAACAGAAAGTAATCACAGGAAAATCTGTTTGCAAAATAAATAGTCTCACTGCAACTTAGGATTTCAGTTTAGTTTTACTTGTGCACCAGGATGCAAATATTGTTCTATACTAGCACTTAAGAAATTGGATATTAATTTTATTTGTTGCAAGTATTTAGCAAGTGGTGACTGAGATACCCACAGATCTGGTCTAAGAAGACATAAAGGATGCTATTGATGGGGAAACTCTTCAATGTACTGAGCAGGTTTTTTAGTTTAGTTTTTATTTATTGTTTGAGCAATAAACATTTTGATGCTTGAATAATGCGCTAGATGCAAAATCTTTGTTACCTCCTGGCATGTTAGAAAATAAATCTGAACCATTCATCTGTATACTGATCTATAAATGAATGTCCTAATCTAGTTTCAGTTTGTTCTTCTCTTTAATTTAGGTAGTGGTTAGTTCATACATTGGACTTGTCTGTATCCACAACATGAAAATTATGACCCAGAACTTTGTCTTGCAAACTTCCACCTCCTTCAGTAAATGTTGTGTACTGTATATGCACAGGTCTGTGCGGTTATATAGTTTAAATGACTAGAACTATTATATGAAACCATATTTGAGAGAGCTTTCCTCCCAATCACGGTGTCAAAAGGTCCCTACACACCACTGTCTTCTCTTGTCACTGTTTCTGAAATGCAGCAGGCAGTGTGTTGTCGACAGTAGAAGGTAAAGCTCAGTGGCTAATGCTCATGAGATGGTGATGTCTGCTTTGAATGTAATAAAATAAGAAAGGTAACAAACACAAGGAAGCCCACATGGCTGGTTTGGTTTCTAGTAGATTCCTGGGCTAAGAATTCTCTAACCCTTTCTTAAAGGACCCCACTGAGTCACCTTCAAACAGTCCTGCCAGTTCGTCCCAGATTCCCACAACCTTCTGTGTAAAAACAAGCAGCTCATTTTTGGTCTTGAATGGCACTGAAATTAATCCCCACTTGCTTCCTCAGAGTTCTCTGTGTTACTGCTGATCTTGTTGACCTGATCAAGACTTTGCAGGATTTTGAATATGTGAATCAAGTCACAGAGCCATTTCTGTTCAAGGCTAAGAAGACCCCATTTTTCCTAGTCTGTGCCAGTGGTATGTCAGGTATAGATGTGGCTGGTCTCCTTTATACTGCCTCTACAGCATCAATATTCTTCTTGTAGGGAAAGCTGTGATCAGAACTGAACATGATCTTATAAATTAGGATTACCTAATGCACTATGATTTCAACTTGACTTTCCTTGATTTAAATTCTGAATTATTACACATTCCTAACAAGGATTTCATCGGCCTGTTTAATTGCTTCCTCGATACTGTTAGTAAGTTAAAGAAAAGAAAATGAGTCGATGTGAACTCTCTGATCTTTCTCGTATCTTACTTCTTCCAGTCCATTATCTTCAATCTAATATTTCAATTTTCCTTGCGTTAGCTTGCACTTTTCCACATTTCTTTTCATTCACCAGGTGTCTGTCCACTTCTGATTTTTGTCGGTATCCTCTTACAACACTGGTGTTGATGAAACTATTTGCAACACTTCCTGTTTTTGAATCATCTACAAAATTGACTATTCACTCACTTCACTAGAGTCTCCATAGTTGAAAAAGATTAGGGAGAGCAAGGGTTCTAGAACCAATCCTTATTATACCCCAATAATGATTATCCTCCAGTCTGAGGTAAGACTCCTTATCATCAACAGCCTTTGCTTTCTGCTTTTTTACCATTTTTTTATCCATGTGCAAACATTACTTTGTATTCTTGCAGTATTAGTATTTGATGATAAGTCTGTGGTATCTTTTCAAAAGCTTTCTTAAAATCCAGACATATTATGTCATATGCCCTGAAGTTCTCTACTGAATTAGCTCTTTGCGTAAAGTCATTTAATACCTTATTTAGGCATGATCTGCTCCTTTCTAAACCCCAGATGGTATCCTAAGATACAGATCATGAAGATGTTCTACTAATTTGATTCTTAGATTTTTTTTTTCCATAATATTAAATGCAGTTAAGATTCCCTAAGCTGTGGTTTGTTGCTGTTTTACAAATTGGTATTACATTTCTGATTATGCCTATCATACACAACTAGAAGCACAGTGGAAAGACCTCCCTCATTTCGTTGTGCACAAGTGGGTGAATACCATGAAGTCCATGGGACTTGGTTTGATTTTCTCCTAATGCCTTAAAGAATTCACCCTCAGATATGTTTTAAATCATTTAAAAATAAGTAGGATGGTTTTCTACCTGTGGCATTTCATTAAGTTCCTCATTTATGAACAGCTGGGTACAGCAATCATTGAAAATGTCCCCCCATCCCTCCTTGTCCTCTGTAATGGGCCCATTTGTTTCCCTAAGACACTTTATTTCTTTGTCTATTGATCTGGTGCTATTGTAATATTGAAAAAAGCTCTTGGCGTTAGCTCTTGCTCCAAATGCTATATTTCTTTCTCTCTTCTGGCTTTTATGATATTTTTCTTGACTTGTGCTTGCATCTTACTCTCTGTGCTTTGTCTCATTCTGTTCCTTTTTGTATAATCTCCAAAGCTGATTTTTTCTCTTTATGTTCCTCTTTAGTAATCTAGTAAACCAATATTTTTTGAAGCAGGATGTGTTGAACTTTGATGTATTTTTTTCTGGTGTCCCCGGTACCACGTCTCTGAAGTGTAGGCAAATATTTTCTGCTGATTTCCAATCTAATTTCATCCAATCAATTTCTCTTGGGCTCTCTCGTTCTCTTCAAGTCTGCTTTTTCAAAATTCTGAACCACTCCTTTAGACTCTGCCTGTGCCGTTTTCAAATCCACCACCACCGCAGTTGTATTGTAGCCATAATGTCCCATTGCGTTTCTTACTTCTACATACCTTTTGTACTCGATGTGGGTCACTCGAAGAGATCAAATCAATGCAAGGGCCTTTCCTTGCTGGACCTCTGACAGGCTGAGTAAGAAAGCCATCATTCACCATAACAACCATTTCAGCCTCAGTTTTTGTGCTCCCAATTGACCTATCCCCATCTACGCAAGTAAAATTTCTGAAACACAATACACATACATTCTTTTAAAGCTTCCTTCATTCCAGTGCATCCCTGGGGTCTGAACAAAATTAAAAACAATTATAAATGCTGCAGAGGAATATTTGATTCTTCAAAGAGGGCTGTCATACATCATCTCATGAGAACAAAACTGAAATACAGAACTAATGCTGCTAAATTCACAATACATACTATATAGGTATTTCGGGATTAATTGCACAAAATAGTTGCTATGGTGACTGGCATAGACTGGCACAGGGGTTAGCATTGGTGCCACGCAGCACTGGGGTCCTGGGTACAATTCCTGGGGTGCCATCCGCATGGAGTGTGCATGATCACATGGGGTTCCTCCCACAGTCATAAGACATCCCTGTGTTTGTGTGGTTTTTCTCTGGGTGCTCCAGTTTCCTCCCACATTCTGAAGACATACCTCAGCGTGAACTGGCTTTCAGGAACACTGGCCCTGGTGTGAGTGTGTGCGTGTCTGTGTTTCTGTGTGTTGCCCTGCTGGTGTCCCACCCAGGGTGTACCCCGCCTTGTGATCCCCTGTGATCCGGAGTGGGATAAAATGGTTAGAAAACGGATGAATGAATGAGTTCCTGTAGTCCACACAGCAGGCCTTCACTCTCGTTTGTGTATCGTTTCACAAACACAATCTTTCAGACTAACTGTACTATGACAGTTTTCTGGAAGTAAATAATGCATCATTCGTATTTTGATTGGTAATCGGGTGTTACGGTACATACTGTGTAACTATAAGAACAGCGTAGGTGATTAATGATCGTTAAATACATCATTTAAAATATAAACGTTAAAATCCTTTGTCTTGTTTGTCTCCAACTTGAATTTTCGAATTATGATGATAAATCCGCCCCTGTTTGTATGAGCTCCTGGGGTTTGTGAACTATCCAAAGGAACCGTATGCGGGTAAGCTGGCTGGCTGGTGTGTTCGTGCCCTGCACCAGAGAGCAGTCCCACCCTGCCTTGCAGCCTGTCTTTCCTGAACAGGCTCTGGGTCAGCACGACCCGCATCGGGTCAGGAGGCGGCCGGTTTCTCATAATGGGCGGATAAAACACAGGTGTAGGTAATGAGCGGCCACTACCTGGAAGCCTGGATTCTCTGTCACCCGTAAATTCATTAAAATCACATAGCCTCTTTACAGCCGGAAAAATGAAGGGCGGTTGACCCGTCGGGAGCTTGTGCTTCAAGCAGTAAGTACACAGTCACACCAATATACCTGCCGCAAGGTGTACGTGCAGTATAACAAGACCCGATTGTGGAAACAGCTGCTGTGAAATGCAATGGTGTGGGTTAAATCTGAGGATGCAGTAAAGAAGACCTACAGAAATTGCACAAGATAAAGCCATGCCTGCGGATCAACAAATCTATAAAACCACAGCCAACCACTGGAGAAGACGAGCGGTTATGTGACAATGTTTACATGTTATTATCGCATCCGCTAGGTGTGATGTGGGTACTGGAGACTCCCGACCAGCGGCTGCGCTTTGTGAAAGGGGTTCCCCTGCCGGTGCCGGAGTCTCCGCAAACCTGCTGGCTTTGCCACAGCCTAACTCTCCGATCTCACTTGAACACCTAAATGTGTTCATAACGTGATTTTGAGGTGCGTGAATGTTTTCATGCCTGAAGATTGATAGAGGTTGGCTTTAAACTATCGTATTTCTCAAAAGTAACATGAAATTCCCAACTTATGGGTAGATAAAAAAACATGCAAATCAAATATTATAAAGCATCAGCGTTAATTATAAGAATTCTTCAAATAAAAAAAAGGAAATGTTAAAATATGAACCCACGTTAGATCCACATCTGGCTCGTAACAATCTACCAAACCTTCTGCGGCTGGCCTGATGTTGCTCGATAATTTATAGTATAACGTTTAGTTGATCACTGGAGAAATCAGAGCACACTTCTTACAAACCGAGTTTAAAAATACGCTGGAAGGATTTTTCACGCAGCTTGGCGTCAGGATGGGAATCCAAAGGGTTAACATTTTAAATGACCGCTGAGGTCGAAATCCAGCTGTGAAAGGCAGACCCGCCCATTTTCGCCAACCATGCGCGTATTGACGTTCGGAGGAACCAATGAAAATGGGGAAGGGGAAAGTAATCTTCCTGAAACGCCCAATCGAAGGGGGCGGTAGGCGGGACTTTGAAATCAGACTTGGTTGAATGGCAGTACAAAGACCAGCAGCTCGAAGGGGGATGATGCACAATTGGTACGGTGCGCGCATCCTTTTCCAAAGGCGCGGGGACTCCGTGTTATAAACACGGGATGCGTTCACATGACATGCCGCTGTGAACTCTGCGGTGGAGGAATATCAGCGTGGTAGCTGTGGGGTAAAAACGTGTGCCTGTCGCGGACATGGATGCTGGCTCTTGCATTATTTGCTGTGGACAGGAATCTCGCCAGCTTCGAAGGATGTTCTTGGGGTTTTGCATTAGCGTTGTACCAGCCCGCTGATCTTCTGCGGGGCTTTCTACATTATTTCGAGCTATCTGAAAACAAATATTGTAAAACGTATATATAGATTTTTTCCCCAGTTGTTTGTTGAAGGGCGATGTGACAGCCCCGGAGTTTGCGTGCATCGGCTTACAGCCAGCGTGTGGATTTGTAATACGGTTTCAGGGATGAGGAATCTGTGACCATCATCATCTAAAAAAGATACACAGGTGAAACTGAAAGGCTGTGCGGGCTCGGATCTTCGCGCCCCTTCATTTCGTTTTACTCAGATTGTTTTTTTTTTCCCAGAAGCAAGTAACACTCCCCTCTTCCACTTTTTTTTTTTACAAAATGAGGCACTCAAGACGAAGGCGCTGGTGTAGTTTTAAGTCGCTTAGCTGACGAAATGCGATTTTTTTTCCCTCGCCAGTCTAAAAGAAACATGGCAAGTCAACACTGTTGCGTGACATCGTGCCTTTTTTTTTGTTCCACTCAAAATAAACGTGTAATTCACCATGTGGTGTAGTCGACTCCTTTCAGTATTTGTCCCGTCTCCAGTGGCAGGAATTTTGGAGGACAGCCAGTTTATTTCCCAGGTTGTGTCTTTTGATTCTTAATTGATTTTAACACGATCTTAGGAGCAATGGCTTTTTTTCTACCCGCGCACGATTCTCATATCCTGCGGAACTGAGTTGCGGTTCGTGTAGAACCTGTTAGCCTGTAATTATGCTCACCTCTAAACCCCTGGCGGCTCCCGGACGGAATGTTTTATTTCCCATTGATAGGGGTATTTTAAGGACCATGCATGATCACCGCCAAAATTGATCTTTTTTTTTAGCTATTTATTAATCATAAGTCGTAATCACTAAACAGCAAAAAAAAAAAAAGCTGATCATTTTAACTGATCCTTTTTTAAAGGCAAAATTACCCCGTGGTCTGAGAGGTTACCGTGCACTCGCCAAATATCAATCCTTTGGTATACAGTTCAGCCGTTTAAACTTTTTTAAAAGATTCTTGAACCCGCCTGGTGAAAGGGTTGTAAACTCCGTTTCTGTTATTGCACGAAATAAACTTTTTTGATTAGCCAGAACAGCATGAAGTGCCCCATGAAGTGCTTCTGAGACTTTAGCCTCAGCTCAATTAATATAATAATACAGTCCCACGCAGATCGGCGGAGGTGTCCATAGGAGTTCTTTTTATAATAACAGTTTACAGAAATCATGTCCCGATCCAACAGCGTGAGCCCGCCCGGACTCGGTGCTCCTGGACCAAGGGGAGGGACCGAACACAGGTCTGCCTGGGGCGAGTCAGAGTCCAGATCCAATGGATACCCATACGCAGCTAAATCGAGCAAAAAGCTAACCAGATCCAACAGCAGATGGAGAGACGAGGATGACCTCGAACGGCAGCCGGGCAGGACCACCACTACAGTCAGTCGGGTCAGTTTCAGGTCCAAGTCTGCGTGGCAAGACCACGGAGAGGAGATGCGGAATAACAACAGGTCGAGTCCCAAGCACCCCGATGGCGAAGTGAGACCCAAATCAGTGGAGTTAGGTCTGGAGGAGCGGAGAGGGAAGTTGAAGGCAGAGGAGGATATCACTTCCGAAGTGCAGTTTTCCATGGTCGAGTGTTGCAATAGCGTGATGCAGATCTTCAGATCCAAGAAGTTCCAGTCGGAGAAGTTGGAACGACTGTACCAGCGCTACTTCTTCAGGCTCAACCAAAGCAGTCTGACCATGCTCATGGCCGTTTTGGTGCTCGTCTGTGCTGTGATGTTGGGATTCCACTGCGCAGGAGGGGTGTACAAAGTGTCCTACGTGGTGATCTTCTCACTGGCCGTTTTGCTAATTATCGTTCTCATGATCGTGTGTAACAGAAACGGGTTCCACCAGGACCACATGTGGATTGTGTGCTATCTCGTCATCGTTGTGGTCCTGGTGGTTCAAATCATGGGGGTGCTGCTTGTGGAGCCCCGAAGTGCCTCCGAAGGAATATGGTGGACAGTCTTTTTCATTCACATCATCTACACGCTGCTCCCTGTCAGAATGAGGGCCGCTGTCATTACTGGAGTTATTTTATCAGCTATACATCTGAGCATCTCTTGGAAACTAAACCAGATGGACAGCTTTCTGTGGAAGCAAGTGAGTACTTTCTGTTAACTTTCTAGCTGGCGTTCTGTACTATTAGTTTCTGATTCTACCTATACAGAAATAATCTCCACTGGCACCACTATTGTGGTGCGCCTAGTAAATAAGAATATAGGAAAATATTACATTTTTATCTAAATACACTTTCCACAGATCCGTGTATCCAAACTCTAAAACTCACTATACTGTGTTGGAGCCTGTTGCAGGAAAACTACTCTACAAGTTTCTGGTACTTCAACATAAACTGTTTAACTTTTTTTTGTAGTATTTGTTCTCTTGAGTTCCTTAACTTTTTCGTTTGTCATCTGGTGAATCGTTTTCATCTCAATGCTCGTTTTGTTTGTAGGGGATTTCATTTATTTAAAAAAAAAACGACGAGACTCAAGCCAGTCCAACCCTTATGAAAGGCGCACTGTCTCTACACTTTAAAGAGTTTATTACAATTGCTCAAGTGAAACGGGTCGTCCGAAGCTATTGAAGAGACTAGTCGAGTCTCTATTTGCCGTACTGTGTTTTGGCATTTTTTTTAATTAAAGTTTCCTTCGGGGTACATTTTGTCTCCCCCTCAGCAGCTCGTCCTGTATCTGCTATTTTCATGTTCGGAAAGAGCCTCTGTACTTGTAGGGGCAGTTGTGCAAACACACGGCGACGGTCAGGGAAGAAGGGCAGGTCATGCCGTGGATCCAGCCCTGGTCTCCAGCGAGTTTACTGTACCTGACCTCAGAAAAGGTCCCGACCCGCTGGCAAGCAGGCCTGTGTGCTCCGAGGTCGTGTTCGATAGAAAGAGTGGCTGTGCATAGTTATGCATTTTTAAGAGACCAGGGGAACATCAATTTCATGCGAGGACTTTGGACTCAACTTCTAAGAACATTGCTTGAATAGGAACTATAAAAGTAGCTATTCTGTATCGAGCGGTTTCGAAAGACTGAAGTTTCCGCTAAGTTTGTAGACATAGTGAAAAAGGTTTTGTTGCACTAGTAATAAAGATCCACGTACAGAGGTCTTCTAGTAGTGATTGTTTCCATCCAGGTACAGCAATCTGGAAGCAAGCGCTCGAGGTCTGCTGTCTGTAATAAAAACTGGTCGGTATACATGCCGCATGGCAAACGAGTTAGTTTTTGCTACTCCTGGAGTGAAAGTATCGATTGATTGCTGAAGTATTTTATTGTCCATTTTTGCAAATGCAACCTGCACAAATATAAATGGCATATGGTACTGTATTTGGACACAGAGACATATTAAGGTGTGTGCTGCATTTTACCTGACTTATCTAGGAAAAGAAAATGATCAATCCTTTGTTGATATCATTTACTCGCAGTAGCTCACTAAGTGTGTAATGACAAAATCATGGCGTTAATTCTCCATTTTCATTCTGTTTTTTAAAATAGAATGTATTATGCAAGAGGCATTCAGAACTGTGCTAATTCTATGAAAGAACAGAAATATCCACACTTGAGGGCTTCTGTCAGATGCTGTACACGTCTAAAGAAACTTCACAGTTTTGTATGTTGTATAAATGACCAGTGGCATATCTTCCGCTCCGAATGTACTCTTTCTGTTTCGGCTTGTCTGAAGCAGAGCTTTAGGAAGTTGATTGCTGACTTCAAGCCTGCAGGCCTGGGATGAGAATGCTTGTTTCTATGGAAACTGTAGTCCTATTTGACCATTGCTTGTACAGTATTACTCTGTTTTCCTGACTCGAGTTGTGGGGGTGGAAAGCAATTAGGAATCCGGGAATTGATACCCTTTTTCAACTCATTCATCCTTGTTCTAAACAAGTACTCGTCTCTCCGAGGAGATCTTATTTGACATTTTGTTGAAAGGGTGTACAGGGAAAGAAGCCTGAAAATAAAAGTATACTGTAACACTCCAGTCGGTTCATTTAAATAAATATATTTCTTAATACATATCCCATAAATATTGTGATGTCTAAGGTATAAAATGTAACATTATACAAAATACTATGCTATTTAGTTAAGACAAGCTGTTAAAGAATTTATAATTGACATAAATGTAAAAATCAAAGGCTTTGAATTGTTCTCAATCCTGATGTCTCTGTGAAGTTGCCGGAGTTTCTAAGACTACAGTCTAAATCTGTATGCAATTGTTTTTGAATTGGATATGGAAGGAGGAATTGATCATAATGTAGGGTTGAGAATGTGCGCTGATTTCCAGGCACATCGGGTGCGAGACGACTAAAATTAATCAAGTAAAACTGGCCCAGTTGAGTCGAAGTAAAAGTTTTCGTATCTGATTAAGGAGTGAAAACTAAAAATCGCAGACATGTTGCGATGAATTTCTTTCCTCATCTGCTACGTAGATGCAAAGGCTTGCTACCGTTCGTTAGTTCATGGGGTCAGTCAGTGGTCTTCGCACCTCTGTAAGAATCGAGCGGCGCAGCTCTCACCCCTTCAGAAAACGCCCTGTCCTTGTTGTTCTGCTGTTATCGGCACTGCGCCGCCCCACATTCTCGTTCCTGTCCGGTTCTGTATATTGCGCACTTTTTTGACCACCAGAGCAAAGAGTTTGAAGAGAGTTGAAAAGAAACGGGAATACATGGACGGCTTTTTCAAAGAACAGTCTCTGCATCGACAGAGGGGGCAGAGACACCCGGATTCGTGTCATTATTCCCTGGACAAATGCGTTTGGTTTAGCATTCGGGTTCTTCCCTATTTTATTTACTAGATTGTTAAATCAAGTTTTTTTAAAGCATATTAAACCTGCTTCAGGTATCCTCTATAATAATAATAATAATAATAATAATAATAATAATAATTGACGCACATCCTCTATGTGCTAAAACAGTTTCAGAATTCTGCATGTGTCACCAATCCAATGTATGGGCGCAGTGTTATCAGTAGACAGGAAACTACTAAATTACTATTCAGTTATTTAACCTCTCAGTGCATTTTTTACACTTGCTTCAACCTGTCATGCAGATGGAGTCCAAAGGGACTAAAATGATTCTAAGAGCCGGCTCATTTGACAAAGGGCTTTCTCAGTGTCTATCAAACACATGGCCAGTATTTGATATACAGACTAGTAATTTAGACCATATTTATTATTTAATCGGCAGGTTCTAGGCTGACTTGTATGCCTGTGCATTCTCTGTACAGACATGGAGGCGCTTACGGAAAGTTTTCTGTGGAGTGAGGGTTTCGGTTTAGTGGGGGGGTAGTGACGGAGAGTGCCTTATTTCTCTTTTAAAAACTGAATCTCAAAGCTCCAGTTTCTGGAGGGACAGGGATGCTGGTGTGGGGTAGGGCTCTGGCTGGCGGAGCGAGCTCTCGGACTCACTTCCTGGGGGGCGCTGTCTCTTTTGTGGCTTTCGTTCCAGCCGCTCTCACTTACAGTACTTAGCTGATCTATTGAAATAACAGCATACTTGTGAATACATATGACCAGGCTTGGTTTGGTATCACAAGCGCAGGCACTGAGCACATGCTGCAAGCGCTTAAAACTTCCCGAGGATATCAGAATTCAATTCCTCCGTGAAAGATTGCGTCACATTAATGATATTACAGTTTGCTGCATGCATATGCTGTAGGTTTTGCTGAACAGTGAAGACTGGTGCTTTTAGAAGTGATGAAAGGGTGTACAGGATTGCCTTTATCTTAAATGCCTGTTTTAAGGGACACGGCAAAGTGCCTTGCAAAGCGATGAGAATTGTATTTGAACGGTGCATTTAAAGACTGTGTGCTTGGGCTTCTCTTTCTCTTTTTCAATTTGCATTTGATGTCACAAATGTGCTCTTTCTGCTGATAATGTAAATTCCACCGGCGTAGTTGGGGTCACCGAGAAGTCATGAAGCCAGTCGAGAAGATGGTCTTTTTTTCCAGGACGTACAAGCGCTCTCTGGATTTAAACTACATATTAAAATGACGGACATAATTAAAAAAAAGCCTTTGTTAAAAAAAGAAGTTTATTTCAAGTTTTACACTTTAAATACTAAATTATGTTCTATATCAGCAGTTAAACTTGTTCATTTAAACAAAGTAAAATAACATTTTTTAGTGTCTCGTGTTATAAAATAGGAACTATGTTCTCGTAATACATAAATCTAAAATGTCTAGTTTCAGATTTCAAACCCTGTGAGTGGATTGATAAAGCAGATCCCTCAAGTGCAATACTGGTCGTCTCCATACAGTAGGAGAATTGACATTTTATCCTTTAAATGACCCTCTCCCCCTTGCGTGTCCTTTGCATTTCCAGGAAGATTTGCTTTGTGTCAAACGCTTTAGTACACGGGCACATGCCTGCGTCCGAAACAAACGCATGCCAGTGTCTCTGTTGTCAGATTAACAAATTTAAAGATAAAAATGAGAAATCCACTTTCACTAAGTGGAAGGCCCTGTTATACACTGAGCTGGCCCTTTGACCATGAGAATGTTAAAAAGATTACAAAAGAGAGGATGTCTTTCTAAATGGTTTAGTAGTGACTAGCTAATTAAGCCGCAGATCTCATCCAGCCCTTTCTTGAAAGAGGGCAGGGTATCGGCTTTGATAACATGGCCGGACAGCTTGTTCCAGACTCCTACAGCATTCCAAATTCCAAATGAATTAGGAATATAGTGCCTAGTGCCAGTATATCGGTGTCTCCAGCTGCTTATTGAGATTTTACTGCTGTGCTTTTATTCCGGCCTTTTCTGTTGAATTTGGGTTCGCAAAAACAAAGAGGTGGGTTTTAGTGACATGGTATGATAAGCCTTAGCGATCATGGATTGTGGTTCTTTGTGCAATGTGTCACTGGGTTTCTGTATTGAGTGGGAATCATGTTCTCTTTATACACATTTCCAGTCTTCTGCTGTTGCAGATGAGCCCAGCTGATGAGCAGATTGTTAGAATGATGTCAATTGCAGTGGAATATGGAAGAATCTCCAGGAAAGAGCCATCCAGAATCAGAAGGCTATAACGTGAGCCCTGTAAAAGAACAGCACATGGCTTTATTCCAGACCTCAAACTCTGTCGGATAGAAGAATCTTATAATTAAACTA